TTCTTCTTCATTTATTCTCTTCAGCTGTTTCCCCTTTAGTGAGTTTCTTTTCTTCAGTTTTTTTCTTTCTCTCAACAAGAGCCAGTCGTTTCTTAGTTTTGTCAGCCATTACTTCTGGCGAGGTTAACACCTGAGCTGACTGCTTTCTTGAAGATGGTTTTTTTGAAACGGGCGTGGGAATTGGGGAAACCTCGAGAAGGAGTTTTGTTGGAGTTGGCTTCCCCCGACACGGCAACCTATCTTCTATGGGGCTATCTTTTATAGGTGTCACGATGATTGTAGTGACTTCTTTAGAGGTCGATGGTGCAGTCGAAGGGTCAGAACTGGTTGACGGGAGTGGACCTTCATCATCATAATTTGATTCCTGGTCAGATGGTGGGGAATCATAGTCTGTCGTTGCAAGAAATGCGTCGTCGGCAATAGCGGTAGGTTTAAAAGGGTAGACTCCACACGCCCTGAATCCGGAAACACCTAGACGCACAGTTGCAGATTTAGACCAAGCTTGTCCAAGCAGTTCCCCGAAATGACGCCTCTCCAGTTTCTTTCCAGGATTAGCGTTTCCCCACTCGCCTGCTGCGTGCCTGTAGTGGGCCTTTAAAGGCTTAAAAAATGATCGGTCAAGTGGTTGTAAATATTGCGTGGTGTGGCTTGGTAGGCATAATAGTACAACATCATTACTGGAAGCACATTCCAAAATATCGGGCGAGTTCGTGTGCGAGCCAGGACCATCTAGAAGTAATAAACACTTTCCCGCTGGTTTTCGTGGTAAGAAGTGATCTCGAAACCACTTCATGAAGATGTTTTCGTCAATGTAGGCTGATTCTTTTCTCATTTCGATAGCCGCTCCGGAAGGCATTGATTCTTGCCAAACTTGTTGCTTTTTTACTCCTTTAAAAATACAGAAAGGAGGCAGGAAGGTACCCTCGGCATTCGCGCAGGCGACCACTGTCACCGTCTCTCCCCTTTCCGTTGATTGCCTGACGTGCACATCGCTGCCTTTTTTAGCCACAACAATGCCGGGTTCATTATTTAGTTGCAGGCCCGATTCGTCTACGTTCCAGATGCTACCAGGTTTGTTGATGAGATCGTGTTCAGTTAACGTTTTAAGCAAGAGCTCGAAGTATTCATTGCATTCCTTCTTGTTCATGCCTTCAGCTCGAGCATTGGATAATCCTTGAGCTTTGCGTATCGAAAGGCTGTTATTCCTTCTCATAAAAGATTTCAACCAATCCGCACCGCAAGCCAAATAGCGAACATCACTGAAACTTTAGAAAGAGAGGGAAGTTCTACACATTGCTATCTTTGTCTACACGTCTACCAACATGGGCGTGCAATATAATCCTAAAGTTATATTGGTACAATGGTTGTAACTAGACGTTCTATAACCTTACTTCCTTGTTTACTTTTGTCCGTTTCGTTTGTATTGTACCTTTTGCACTCGCTTTTACCCTTATAATCTTAGTTTCTGCTTTTACTTTCACACTTCCGTCGCATTTATACCTTTCTTCCTATTACCTATTCGTATTTTTCGCCTTTACACTTCCAATCATTTATTTTCCAAATACCCTACAAAATCTGTCTTTTTGAAGACAAAACTAGTTCACGTCCATTTCATGTAAGTAGTACCTAAGTGTTTTTATCTAACTTGCTAATTAAATTTGTTTAGATTTGCAATAATGGCTAAATGCTTTTACAAGAATTGTGAAAATACGAAATGATCAAAGAGAGGCTGCAATCTTCGTTATCATCCATTCCCGAAGCCATTT